AAGACAAGCCATGCCACTGATAAGAACGGACTTGTCTTCTTTAGTTCTTTAGCGAAATTACTGTTAACTCTGATCAGCCTACAGTTTTGAAAGACATACCCGCATACAGCGATCGGTATCATCGATCGGTTGCATATGATCATATCCGTTTTACTCGCTTTCTGACGCATAAAATTTAAACTCTTTGAAAATCGGGTCGTACAAAAGCCCAGTTAACACTATCCGGCACTAAGAGTTTTAAGACTGCTCAAAATACAAAAAATATTATAAATTGTCTATTCGGCGCCTGGGGATAAAAAAGGTCAAATTCATCAAATTGCCATGAAAATATTGAAACAAAATATCAATGCAATCACATGAAGATACTTGGATACCCTGGTTCCAGAGGTTTATTCTTATTATTTTCATTGCGAAGGGGAGGGGGAAAATTAACCTCTGGTTGAAAGCGGCAATTGATTCATTGAGCTGCGCCAATCAGTTTGAATTAGGGTCAGATCCTGACTCTGTCTCCTGACTGGGTGATTGTTTTAAAGTTCTCTGATTGGTTCAAATAGAACATCTATAACCAATCAGAGAGCTTTAATACCATCATCCAATCAGGAGACAGAGTCAGGATCTGACCCTAATTCAAACTGATTGGCGCCGCTCAATGAATGAATTGCCGCTTTCAACCAAAGGTTTATTTTTCCTCTCCCCTTCGCAATGAAAATAATAAAAATAAACCTCTGGAACCAGGGTAGTACTTGGATAACTTTTCTGACTTTGCGGAGATGCGCGTCTGCACCACAGTCTAAGACACTCGTTACTCGACTATATGAACACGGTACCGTTTCCTAGCGTTTTTCGGTTTCTGGTTGTAATTAATGCGTTTTTCACGTACTTCTGTTCACACGAAAACGTATGAAAACGACGTCAGGAAGCAAAAACGTTTCAAATAGTGAAAACGATGCCAAACATTCGTTCTCTATGTCTGAAACGTTTCGTCGTTTTGGCACTTTGTTATTGTGTAAACAGAAAAGTAGAAGGCGAAAATGAAATTCCGTGTTTGAATTTGGAAACGAAGACTATAAAAAACTAGTGCTTTCTCAGAAAATGTTGCGAGAAAAACGATCAATGTGAACAAGGCACCTAAACGCTAATTTGAAAACAGCACTGCAAAAACGCTCAAAAACGTGACCCGTGTGCACATAGTTTCAGTCTCGATTTAGCACTTGTGAAATTATGTTAAATTTAAATATTTTTCAGCTTTATATGTTTAATATAAAGCAACAACCCACGAACAGGCATCCATTTCAAAACAAGAGCCATATTGGTGTCCCTCAGTTACCAACACACCAATATGATTCTCATTACCTATATCTAACCTTTACAAACTTTTGAAAAACTCGGCAAATTCAACTAGCGTCACTCGGCAATTTGACCTTCGACACCCCCCCAATCCATATCCCTTCGCAACGGCCCTGAGTCGCGGTGCTATATAACCGCCAATATTCACTTCTCAAATTCATGTAGTGATGCGTTTTCAACATGTTTTGAAACTTCAACATTGAAAATTACTTCAATATCTATACTTCAATGTTGTATTTCACTTAAATTTGACACGTTCAATATTCAAATTAACATCAATGAGAGAAACATGTTGAAATTGAAGCAATGTTGAATTAAAGTGGTATGCTGAATTTGATATGTTCAATGTCGAAATTCACTTCAATACGGAAACATGTTGAGTTAATATCAACATGAATATTGGCGGAAATCTGACGCCATACAACTCAGCCCCCTGTTAATTGATAGCCAATAACTTATTCACATTTTTTGGCGCGAAATGTAATTGAAAACCGTGCAAGTATGACGTCGACTTGTGCCAAGTCTAGTTAGGTGCTCATATAGTCCAGTCAAATCACTATAAGTACATGGTCCTGATCAAAGTAATTGCAATAGATTTGTTTTCAGTGGTAAAGTGTGAGAAAAGTTGTTCTGAAAAAAAAAATCCCTTCGGTGGAACATGGTGAAAATCGAGTTTTTCTTACTTCTACCTATAGAAAACCATTGTGGACAGAATGTTGAAATTTTGAAATCATTTTTAGGCAAATGTAACCTACATTATTGGAAAGCTTAGAAAAAACTAAAATATAGATCATTAAACGGTTACCTTGCTTTTGCCTATCCAGCCGAAGTTATACAAGATTTAAAATGCCATAAATTTGTATTTTGTGCAAATTTTGCGCTATTTTTCCAACTTTGAGCTAGAATAACGACAAACTGACATGCAGTAAATTGAATATAACGGTTTAATTGACCTTCATATAGTTTTGTTTAAGTTTTCCAATAATGTAGGTTACATTTGCCTAAAAATGATTTCAAAATTTGAACATTCTGTCCACAATGGTTTTCTATAGGTAGAAGTAAGAAAAACTCGATTTTCACCATGTTCCACCGAAGGGATTTTTTGGGATTTTTAGTATGGTAATCAGGATACCTTCCCTCACATTTTACCACTGAAAAAAAATTCTATTGCAATTTCTTTGACCTCTGGTCACAGATTGACTGGACTAATACTCTGGGAACAGGAGTGGTTTCGCCACTCATAAAGACTAGGAGTTACTGTCGTTCAAAGCAACATGAGTGAGTGACTACAATTCTTTATTGCCCCCTATAAGAGGAGTTTTGTACCAATATTTATTTACAAGAAAATACTAACGTTAAGTTAATTAGAAAAAAAGTTTTTTCTTTAAAAAATCGGTTTGTATGTTTTTGAAGTATATCTAGCTATCCTTAGTTTAAACGTATCTTGATAATCCTTAGAGCTATCCATTACTCCGGATAGATCATCAAATAAAGGGTATAAAAACTGATTATCGCGTCCATCAAGTATTGAATGTAGATAACTCATCTATAGGCAATTTGTCTAACAAATTCACACCAGTTTTGCTCATACACCATTCGGACTCGATAACGATCTTTTTCCACTGATTCTTCAATTTCTTCCTTGGAAATTCTCCGTTATCAATAAAATCATTCATAAAACAGAACAAGTCATATCGTTGAAGGATATCTGATAAATATCTGGAATTATCATTAGCATGACAAAATTACTGGATGCTCATTGGTTGAGAGGAGTACAATTATTTCATTAATTATTTATCTTCTGTAATCAGTGGCAAATACTGCAATTTCATTGGTTGACAGGAGTGCGATTTGAGCATTAATCGCACCTTTTCTGAGCTGTAATCGCACTCTTGTTTACAGCCAATGAAAATCAGTCTAGTATTTACAACTAGCCAATCAGCATTCAGGATACAAACTTTGAATTTTATTTTCTTTATTGCTGTAAAAAATTTCAAAATGGAGGAATTCACAAATTTTGACCTTTTAATTTTTAAATCAGCCCTCGAAAACCGTCAAAATTGAGGTCGGAAAAAAAATGCCGACCTAAATCTGACCTAGCTCGACACATCTCGGCATTTTTTAAAATCTGTTTCCATGTCTTGGAGCACTAGTAGCCTGCACTAGTAATCACGTATTTACGAATCATTGAAAAGTATAAATGTCACGAAGCCTTTTCTTTTAGAGTTTTACCTAAATTATATCATAAATATACCCGTTAATTCTTAAACCTTACACCAAAGTACATCGAATTCTATAATCGCTGACTTTTTAACAGCTATAAGCACCAAAAAAGATTATTACTTTGGCTGAATTAAGGTGGGCAAAACATTGCCGACATGGGAGGTTGATAGGTCGGCATTTACTGTAGGTCGGCATTGCCGAATGCAGATCTCGTTTTCGAGGGTTGTTAAATTATATATTTTCTGACGAAAATGACCTACCTGTTCATCCAGCAGAAGACACCGAACTAAACACAAACAGGATTTATATTTCCATCCAATTTCAGATGATTAATTGAATTAAAGAACTTCACTATTTTGAACACGTTATAAACATACAAACATGGCTTCCCAATTGTGTGTTGAATAATTCAAACAAATGTTGTCATGTGATTATACCGGAAATAATGCCCGGAAGTTAATAATATGTTAATTTGATTACATATGATAAACAATAATTCAAAATTGTACTATTTCACTAAGAATTGTCGTGACAAAAATTTAATAATTATATTGAACTTCAACAAATTGCATTTTTCTGCTTTTCCCCCTTAAACAGTTTGATTACAGAAGATAAATAATTAATAAGTAATAGAACGAATTAAAGTCGTACTATTAATGCCATAATCATACTCGTGATTAACAAATCAACCTCCCGCTACGCGGTCGGTTGATTTTGTAATCACTCGTATGATTATGGCATTAATAGCACTCCTATTCGTTCTATTACCATCATTAATTAATTGTACTGCAGTACAATTAATGATTTTCCCATATAGTATACTAAAACCAGTCGTCGCTGATTTAAAATCCCATTTCCAGCGAATTAACCGTCTGTAAAATATAACTTTATAAACTGACCATGTTACGCATGAATTACTTAACATTCCTAGGAAAAATAGTTTCCTTTTGTCTATTTCAGATCGAATATACCTGATGAACCACCATCATAGTTTGTGCTTTTTCCAACAAGTCTCCATAGTTCGCAACCGTATATAACATAGACGGTACTACCGGATCCAGAGGGTATCAAGTGTAGCTCAAGTACGGTATAGGGGCGGATCCAGGGTACAGGCGGGTACAGGGGGATACGGTTATAAATCGAAAATAAAAAAATCGAACACCGTCAATCGATGAGGAATATCGTTTAAAATCGTTTCAAATTTCATGACGATCGGACTCAAAATGAAGGAGCCTTAGGCTTTTTTCGAAGAGCGTCGCCCCCTGACAACAACAACAAGATTAGCAGAGATTGGGGACCAGTTCCTGGTCCAAAAATCGTACAAAAGGCAGACGTCTTGGTTTTTGCCTATGATTTTGGCAAACCCTGTCATGATTTTGGCATTGTGTTGTCACCATGTTCCTAGCCAGTGCACTTATGAGAGGTTTTAACCCCCCCCCCCCCCCCCCCCTAAAAATATTCAAAATGGTGTACATTCAAGGGATGAATGTCTCTCATAAGCACACTGGCTAGGAACATGGCGAGTGCATTTTGATGACAAATCATTGCGAATCATGGTGTGCTGGTAGTTATGCTTTTCTGGCAGAGTAAATTCATTTACCAGGTCAAATTCGAGTCCGAATCAATTCCGAATCAATTCCGAGCCCGGGTCAAACATCTGAGTCACGTAAAAAAAGACAAAATGGAATAAAATTTACAATCGAATAGGGTAAGGAGAAGGTTTTAATAGGTTAGGAGTAGGGTTAGGGTACTAAGTCATTGAACTATAAAGACCGCTAAAGACATCTCATCAGACATTTGACTCTGGCTCGGATTTGACCCGGAGTTGACTTGGTTAACCGACTTACCGACAAACTTTTTTCTGGCTGAGTCAGCCTTCTGTGAGGTCTCTATTCTGAGACTGCACTCTAGTTTATTACTAATTACTCTGTCTAACATCAGACAATTTTATTCATCAAGGGCAGAGCACTGGTGCCCAATGGGTTAATAAAATATCCTCATCCAGCTCTGATAATTATTTAGTGTACATTTTAAGCTGAGGTTGGATGCTTAGTTTGAAAAGCTTGGCTATAATTTTGATATTTTTTATCAGTTACATATTTTTAAGTACAATTTTTATAAAATGTTCTTATTATTACCCATTAAGCTGCAGAGCTTCCCTATTGACAAGTAGAATTGTCTGGCATTAGACAAGTAAGAAAAATAAGTACTGGGCTCATTGCGGCTGAATGGGTTAACTAATAACTAGAGGCATTGTTAGATTTTTGGTTAACTCATTAAGCTGCAGAGCTTCCCCAATGACGATTAAAATCATCAGGAACTAGACAAGTAAAAAAAATAAGTAGGGCGCACTGGGGCACATTGCAGCTCAATGGGTTAAGAAAGCTACAGGTAAACAGGATTGATGAACTAAGGTAGTTCAAATTACACTTTTGGGAGTGAAATTCGCAATAGTTCCAAATCTTTTGAGTAATTAGAGAACACAAATACCATGTTACGTGGCACTACAAATGCATCTCCTTCACTCAAAATATAGCTACCATTATCTTTCACATTCAACTCAGTCCTTCCTTTAAGAACAAATGCGAAGTATATGTCGCAGTCATGAATTGAGTGTACCTCAGATGAATCGGTTGGCTTGGCAATTGTCACACTAGCAACACCTTTGGTAGCCTCACATACACCAGTGTTACATATATTGAACCCATTCATTAACTTCCAGACGGCATTCCCAGCTTGATGGTGGCAAAAAACCTGGTCCTGGAATTCTCGTTCAGGTTGGCAGGCAATAGTAGGCAATTGGGTATGCTGGTCAAAGGAAGTCATATGCTGAGCTGGAACCCCTATTTCAATGACCTGCAAACCCTCTCCTGATTCCAAAACCCGATGCCTGATTTCTGGTGGCTGAATCACAAAATCTCCGGGGTGTAGAATTATAGGTTCACCTTGATCCTCATAGACAACTTTGACCCATCCTTTATAACAGTAGATCAGCTGAAATAACACAGTATGATAATGCACCATGTCAGGGACTGGACCGTCATTTGGAATGTGAATATGGGATGCAATCAGTGCCCCGCCTAATCTAGAGGGAACCAAATCACGATATAGCATTCCGGCACGGCCAACCACCCAAGAGTAACCTTTATCCAGATGAGTTATCTCCAATTTCTGTACTGGACGGGGAATGGTAATTCCTGTTGATTTGGGAAAGATTTTTACAGTAGTACCATTTGGAGCAGTGTTGCCTGATGATAATTTTTCTTCAAGTTTCCCAGAATTTTCAGTCAAAATATGTATAGTTGGTGGGGGTATGTCTGCTCTTTTATCGATCTGCAATTTCATTCCATATCCCGAGAGTACAGAAACAGCAGGATTATCAGCAGGGAAAATTTGTTCTTGATGAAACCCAAACTTTGTGAAGAACTTGATGTCCTCAAGAAGATCTTTGGATGGCAAGACAATCAATCCTTGCCCTTCCATATTTGAGAACCTGTGTTGAGAAAAATATGCGAACACTTTATAGAATTACAGCTTACACTTCGGGCGAAATGAAGGTCTGTTTTCAGGCTACCATAGCCCTCGCCATGGCCCATATCATGTTTCATCAATTCGAGTATTCGACCTTCGTCAACCTTCGGACGAAGGTTAGCCTGCGAACAGGCCCTCCTGAGTTGACGTGATCAATTTTTTCGCCACTATCTATATATCTTTGCCACAAATGGACCGCAAAATTGAAATCTTCGTGTTCAATTTTATAGGACCCTTCTAGTCTATACCGAACATTTTACCATGTTTGGATATTCTGGGCGCGAGTTTATAGGGCCTTTCGAAAATTATGTAGCAACATGTCTGATTCGTTTTTGTGTGTGTTGGTGTTATCATAGTTAATATAGAAGACCATGGTGTTATGTACAGATGTACTCAGGTGAATATGATGTTTGTGGTGTTGAAAAGTTCGCCTGACACGGTGGGAATCGAACTCGCGACCTTTGTGAGCCCAGCATGAACACCATTCCGACCACCCGATTCCCAGGGTGAGATAGACCCAAAAGACAGGTCAGCACTATTTTCCATCCAGCAAACCGCCCTATCGTTTTTCTAAAGTCGTCTCTTTTTGGATTTTTTTATTAATTCAGTTAGGGTTAGAGTTAGGGTTGCGATTAGGGTTAGGGGTTAGAGTAGGGGTAGGGTTTGGGTCAGTCACATAGCCATTTAACACCTCTTCTATCTTCCACAAATGACGTCAGGTCAGTTTGCTGGATGGAAAATAGTGCTAACCCAAAAGACAGTCAATATGGCGCTTGTATTCATGAGACAAACAAGATTATGGTGCTCGTATCGCACAACGTTGACTGCCCTGTCTAAAACGCATTATTATCCTCGTCATGTTAGTGCTTTCTTCCAACGCAGGTAAGTGAAAACATTTTCCGTCAGATTATGGAATGAACTTCCGGACGATCTCAGGCGTGCAGTGCATGTATTACATTTTGTTATTGGTCGTATAAAAAATAGAGTCACGATCTCTCTCAACGGCCAGTTTATAATAGATTATACCTGTAAACCACATATAAATCATAAGTATTCTCTAGTTATAATCACTCCGCATATTTTCAGTTCTAAAATGTTGTATTTCGGCTGATGAGAAAGATCGTGACTCAATCTTTTATACGACCGTTTATTAATTAATACAACCGAATGTTCTATCTATATAAAACTAATGTATATAGTATTTTTTAGTTTCAGTCTTAATCAGCCGACAGGCTATGCAAATAAACCAAGCAACCATTCGAATATCATTAAAAGCAAGACGGATTTAGATCTTATTGAAAATAAATCCCTCCCTGCATTCTTATTTGACAAATTTGATACATTTGGCAACAAACCAGCAATGGTATGTATGGGACGAATTTTATTTGTATAAAACATAGCGTCTTCAAAAGATTTTTTGTTGTATTGTAACTGACAAACTGTACATTGTATTGCGAATTTTATAAATATGCTGTAAAGTCCGTAATGTAAACAAACGTTTTGTTTACATTTTGAACTGCTACGTTGTAAAATATGATATATACTAACTGAATATCTAACACTCTGGTTCGCTATGCTTGTAAATGAGTATAAACTAGAGTACGTTTCAATTCAAAAAAGTTCGAAAGATGCAAAATTTGGGCAATGTTTATATCTGCGGCTCCCCCTTTGTTATATGAGCATAACTGATGCGCAGAACAGACTTTACAGCATCTTCAAGGTGTCTTCTGTTAATAGCTTTTTCATTTTTCTATAGTTTATAGTTTAATTTTTTATTAAAGTGACTGTTTAGTAAACTTCCGGCTACATAGTGACTATAGTTAATTTATAAGTTCAATTTTTATAAGATAAACCGATCCCAACCCTTCTCCAACCCTATACCCTTCTCTAACCCTAACCCCTTCTCTAACCCTAACCCCTTCTCTAAGCCCTAACCTTTTGAGAGTTCGAAAAGGTAGAAAAAAAGGTAGACAAAACACATCCCGACCTGGACTTTACTGCTTTTTACTTTCCACATGCAGTGCCTTTACCGTATATGGTAACAGCAAGCTCGCTAAAAGCTACGTACTGCAAACAAAAGCTTAAAAATATAGTCACTATGTAACCTGTGCACAGTTTACTAAACAGCCAGCTGTCTTGTCACTTTGTTCGTTTTTCAAGTTTGCAAAGTAAACTGACAGTATATTGTCTTCTTTTGGTGATATACATCATACGACCATCCATGAACCTAGATGATGTATATCAATTAGCATACAGGCACAATTTTTTATTTGTGAGTACCTGACCCCCACTCCTTGTCCCTTACTGGAATTGACCCCTGACCCTAACCAGTGCATGACTCCCGATCACCTGGGGGCAGCTAACTAAAATGGTGTGTGCACTTGACATGCTGTGTAAAAGTGAGTGGCCCAAATTCAATTGAGATGTCAATGTCTCTATACTGAGCTGCAATTTTATTTCCACCCTTTAAGTGGCAATGCATGTGCTCTCTGATGCATCCAACTTTATTATTTTACTCATCAAGAGAGTGTTGCCACTCAATGGGTTAAGACGCAGGGGTATTTTAGGTTTTGGGACTTGGGTGGGAGCTCCCCCAAAATTTCAGGGGTTTTTTTATTTGGGGGGGATTCCCCCCTCCTATGGTTACAAACCCAGACGTCATTTCCTACACTCACCTCTTTCCAAGTGAGGGGATATTAATGTCTGGGTTCAAGTGATTACCTATTTTTTATACTCAAGGTTATAAGCCTTATCACTTACCAGTTTAATATTAATAATGATATTCCTATTCCGTTTTGGGGGGAAATGCTCCCCCCCCCCCAGAATTTAGCTATTTTCTGACCTTGGGGGAATTTGGTATTTTTTTGGGGGGGGGGGGAATTCCCCCTATTCTCCCGCGCAAAATATCCCTGAGACAGCTTCACCATGCACAAATCCTTTTAAATTTGCTTATTGATATTTCACCAGTACAGCTAATTAAGTAGTTTGATGAATTGATGCCATTGGATGGTTGCTTCATTAGTTCATTATGCCAAAAATACATAATTGTATTTTCTGGGCAAAAGCAGGGGCGGGTCTTGTCTTGTAGGTAGAGGGGGATGCATTGCTACAGCGGTCTGGGGGCATTCTCTCCCTGGAAATATTTGAAATTTGAAGCCTTGGGGCTGGTTGTTCAAAGGTGGGTTAGCGCTTAAATTAATCCTGGGTTAAAATTTAACCTGCTGTTTTAGTTTGTGTATTTCTGTATATGTTTATTTCAAAACGTCAGAGAAGTAAACTCCTATCGATCCAGACAAGATCTCTGAAGAAATATTTCCAAATTTATAAACAAGATGTCTGGAAGTTTGCTATGAATTTTAGGTTAAGCTAGGGTTAAGCTAACCCAGCTTTATAATTTGAACAACTGGCCCCAGAAATGCTATTTCCTGCAATTTGAGCACCACATTTATTCATTAATTTTCTCCTCACGGTACTTACATTTCATGCAATTAAAAATTAAGAAAAGTAATTATGATGTTGTACACCGGATGATGATCATCTTAACCCAAGGAGTGAAAAGGAAAATATCTTTTGTTAAATAATCTTTAATAAACAGCAGCATACAGTATCAGCTTTGAAAAATTTTCTGGGGGATGACCCCCCAGATCCCCCTTTTCTTCCGAAACTTAGTATCACAGTGCAAATCAATTACAAAAGCCTTTATTATAATTATTACACTTCAGGTAAATTTTTAAAATTGAACTTCAAATTTCAGGTAAATCCTCAACACCCCAACTTTAGATGCTTCGCTATAACTCATTATAACATAACTTATTAATAATCTATGTTATATACTAGTCGACGTTTATTCATAATTCTGGTCCTTCACCGGCCGTCACGTGTGTATTGTATTTTTTGTCAAATCCACCAATAACAATTTCCAATTTCCCTCTTGTCCGAGTCACGGATAGGTATTGGGCAAAAATACAATACACACGTGACGGTGAAGGACCAGATTTATGAATAAACGTTGACTATCATAGATAGTGAGTTATATTGTTATTCTAATGAGTTTCACAGCCATCTTCCCTTGGCCAGGTGATCTTGATACGCGGAAAAGTACTGGCACTAGTTGTCTAATAGAAATCCATTTTACGATTAAAACAACTGAATATCTCCTGTAATATACTTTATTTCGATTCCATATTTTTGTCAGAGCTATAGTTCTCATAACCAAACGTAATTACAAAATTTCAACTAGTTTCATTAAGAAGAATGAAAGATATAATTGACTGAATACATCAAAATGGATTTCTATTCGGACAACCCTTTCTGAGCGCTGATTGGCTAAAATACGAACACGAGATCACCTGGTTCGATAGGCTATGGTGTTATGTACTCAGGTGAATAGGATGATGTTTGTGATGTTACTCTGAGTGTGCAACCACACCGGGCAAGCTGAAAAGTTTGCCTGACCATGGTGAGAATCGAACCCGCGACCTTTGGGATACTATAGTCCTATGTTCTGCCAACCGAGCTACAGTACGTGGTCAAGTCGAGTCTAGTTCCTTCGATATCAATGTATCCTAAGATATGATGCTTGGCAAGCTGAAAAGTTTACTGTACTACGGGATACTATAGTCCTATGTTCTGCCAACCGAGCTACAGTACGTGGTCAAGTCGAGTCTAGTTCCTTCGATATCAATGTATCCTAAGATATGATGCTTGGCAAGGTGAGAATCGAACCCGCGACCTTTGGGATACTATAGTCCTATGTTCTGCCAACCGAGCTACAGTACGTGGTCAAGTCGAGTCTAGTTCCTTCGATATCAATGTATCCTAAGATATGATGCTTGGCAAGCTGAAAAGTTTACTGTACTACGGGATACTATAGTCCTATGTTCTGCCAACCGAGCTACAGTACGTGGTCAAGTCGAGTCTAGTTCCTTCGATATCAATGTATCCTAAGATATGATGCTTGGCAAGCTGAAAAGTTTACTGTACTACGGGATACTATAGTCCTATGTTCTGCCAACCGAGCTACAGTACGTGGTCAAGTCGAGTCTAGTTCCTTCGATATCAATGTATCCTAAGATATGATGCTTGGCAAGCTGAAAAGTTTACTGTACTACGGGATACTATAGTCCTATGTTCTGCCAACCGAGCTACAGTACGTGGTCAAGTCGAGTCTAGTTCCTTCGATATCAATGTATCCTAAGATATGATGCTTGGCAAGCTGAAAAGTTTACTGTACTACGGGATACTATAGTCCTATGTTCTGCCAACCGAGCTACAGTACGTGGTCAAGTCGAGTCTAGTTCCTTCGATATCAATGTATCCTAAGATATGATGCTTGGCAAGCTGAAAAGTTTACTGTACTACGTGACGGTACTACGCTTATCAGCGAGTTTTATTCATTGCGCACAAAATATCTTACTATCTTAAGGCTATGTTACACGGTGAAATTTTTCTTGCAACTTGCAATGCAATATTTCTACTCTTGAGAGATGTTAATGAGTCAAATCAGTGAAGAATTTTCGAAATGTTGAGAAAACATCAGCGGAGTGTAATGAAGACTCGTATTTGGCACGTTTACATCTCTCAAGAGTGGAATTGCATTGCAAGAGCTGAAGATGCGAATCGTGTAGAATACAACTCGAAACAACAAAATTTTCTCTGTTTGTCAAACATTAGTGACAAAGTGTCAAACATATAATACTTTTTGTGTGTGTTGGTGTTATGTTATCAGGTGAATATGATGTTTGTGATGTTAGTCTGAGTGTGCGTCCACACCGGGCAAGCTGAAAAGTTTGCCTGAGCACGGTGGGAATCGAACCCGCGATCATTTTTGGATACTAGTCCAATGCTCTAACAACTGAGCTATACGAGATCAAGTCGGTGATATTTCGGAATTGAGTCTAGTTCCTGAAAAGTAGTTCAGTTGGTAGAGCATTGGACTAGTATCCCAAAGGTCAGGTGGCGGGCTCGATACCCACCGTGGTCAGGCAAACTTTTTAGCTTGCCCGGCGTGGATGCACGCGCAGAGTAATATCAGAAACATCATGAGTACATAACATGATAACACCAACACGCACAAAAAGTATCATATCTTAGAATACATTGATATCGGATCGAAGGAACTAGACTCAGTTCCGAAACATTACCAACTCGAACCGACTTGAAGTCGTAACTCAGTTGCTAGAGCATTGGACTAGTATCACAAAGGTCGCGGGTTCAATTCCCACCGTGGTCAGGCATACTTTTTAACTTGCCCGTTGTGGATGCACACTCAGAGTAACATCACAAACAGTATATAGATATAAGATATAACATATCAGTCCTAGCTTGAGGATGATTCTGAATTATATCCTGTATAGCTTATGATCTATAACTAGTTGTTTTTTCCTTCAGATTGACGGAATCACAGGACAGCAGTACACCTACCCTCAACTGCAAGAAATGACGATAAAATTAGGCTCAGCTTTGACCAAACTCGGCTTTAAGAAAGGAGACGTGTGCGCCATATTTTGTCATAATATTATAGAGTATCCCATTATCTACCTATCCATATTATCTCTGGGTGGTATAGCCACGTTAATTTCTAGTATGGCTACTGTTCCAGAGTTATGTTATCAGTTGAAAGACACAAACGCCCAATACATCTTTACAGTCCCAGCTTTGGCTTCCACTGCAAAGGAAGCGGCAAAACAATGTGGATTAACTGAAGTGTGTGTAGTGGGAGAAGCTGAAGGCTGTCGACCAATTTCGAACTTTTTTGAAGACGATGGAAAGAGCTTTCCAAGAGATGTTGAGATCAAGCCCAAGGAAGATGTGGCGATATTGCCGTATTCGAGTGGCACTACAGGTCTGCCTAAAGGCGTTATGTTAACCCACTTCAACCTATCTGCGAACATACAGCAATACTGTGAGCGGCCGGAATACAATGATACTAAGTTTGATGACATTGCGTTAAGCGTAATACCGTCTTTTCACATATATGGAATCACTGTTGTTCTCGGAGTATCGTTATATAAAGGGGCGACCGTAGTAAGTTTGCCAAAGTTCGAGCCAGAGCTGTTCCTAGAGACAATACAAAATTTTAAGGTAAGTTGTATTGAGTTTCCTTTAGATTCGCCATGCATAAACTTATCGGGAGCATATTTTGGGATGTGTCTAAAATTAGCGAAAATCGGCATATCAAATACTAACTCCAGCGTTTGTTTGCTTAATGACATATCAGGCTAACTTGTATTTCAGCGAATTGTCGTTAGGGTTTGTAAGGGATATGGCGTAGATTTAGACATCTTACATGTAAGTCTTAGCTCATTGTTTCCTGAAATATGAAC